TGTATGATTCTATCACAGAAATAGAAATCTAGAGAGAACAAGGTATGTTTCAGTCCCATTGAAACCAATGGCTTTAAAGTGCTTAACATCATTTTCAGTGGGGTGTAGCCTCTTGTGGGACTTCCAGAGGATCTGATCTGCCATTATGGGAAACAGGATGCTGGTCTTAAAATGAACAATTGGTCTGATCCAGCAGAGGTCTTCTATTTTATTAAAAGTGAGGGGTAAATTGACCCCCAAGATTGTACCTGTCTGGACTTGTATACTTCCTGCTTTGTTGTCCTCATTGTGGGCAAGAAGGTAATGAATATATTGAGATATCCTGGATTGCTATGAAGGCAGAATTTTCGTAGACCTGTGAAATAATTCATTCTTATCTCTTACCCATAGAGTGGAAAGAGTATTTGATCCAATTCCACCCCAGACAGAATCCTGGCGTCAACAATCACAAGTGAACAAGCTCTTAAGGGTGCTTGTTTTTTTTGGATTATGTCCACTGGCTTTCAGGCCAGCATCATACCCTGAGGTGGTGCAACTGCCGGGGCCCAGGGCTTCTAGGAAAGCTTATTGCTGCTGACCCCTCTCCTATTCACCTGCTGTTGCTGTACTGGCCATGCTTCCAGCTGTATGCACTTACCAGTGGCACCAGGGAAGGGGTTGTGGGCAGAGCAGGGAGCTGCGAGTAGGGGCAATGGGAGGTCTCCAAAGCAGGAAGGGGGAGGACACATAGGCAGGTGTGTCATGAGGATGAGTGAGAAGGAATGAAGGTATGAGCAGGGCCTAGTAGTGGGCAGAGTTGGGGGGGGGTAGGAACTCTGCCTGGGGCCTCCCAAAACCTAGAACTGGCTCGGGCTTGCAGGCATTATTCAGATACCCAGCATATCAAAGATGATTAACAATGTATCATAAACATGATAAGAAGTGTCCAGTTATTGTTACCGTTTTTATTTGTTGGTATATTTTGTATGGCAGCTTACTGAGAGAGCTCCAAATCTCACAGAAGGGATATATATATCGTTCATTGTTTAACTATATATTGTTCATTGTTTAACTAAACAAGGAAGAACTATTGGCAACTGAGAACTGTCCTGAGGGAGACATTTTTTTCCTTTTTTAAAAAAGAATTCAAATTTAATAGAACACTTACTACTTCTATGTTCTTTGTCAGTAACATAAAATTGTGATTATTGTCATCATTTATGCCATATCATACTTTATTGAGATGTTAGGGTTAGAGTTTTCCAAGGATGGAAACAAGAGTCTTCAGTATTGTTTTCTTGTTGGAAATGTGTAGTTTTTCAGGTAGCATCAGTAGTCTTCTGCCTTCTAAGTACTGTGAAAATGTGGATTCTCTGGAAAATGTAGGTTGGGACTTTGTGTTATGTTTAGTTTTATGAAGATTTTCAAAATACTTGTTCAGAACACGCCTCCTGGGGTTGCTGTTTGGAAGAGTAGAATGCCAGATGTCAATCTTGTCAGAAGGTCTTCATTGATTTGTCATTGATGGTGGTGCTTTTCCAAAACTAAAGTACAAAGCGTTGTGTTGGGTCCAAACTAAATTATACATCAGCAGAATAGAACTTTCCTGGTTCCCTCTTCCCACTGTAGCTCACTGATCTCCATGAAATGCCATTCCTGTAGGGCAGAGGACCCTGGGAAACTACACTGCAGGAAGGAGGGGTCTGCAGCAGGAAGAGCAAATTGGTGGAAATAGCCAGTTTAGACTGGATCCAACCCATTGTCTCCAGTTATTCTTCCTCTCCTGAAAAAGCTGCTCCATAAGCCTTTGGATTTATTTTATGCTATGGTCCTCACATTATAGACACTACTTGGCTATACTGGAGCAGTTGGTCTGGCCACAAGGACCTAGCTTGCTCTGGGGGGACCACAGTCTTTTGTGCGG